GGTAGGTACGTACGTACGTACGTAACGTAACGTAACGTAACGTAACGTAACGTAACGTAACGTAAACGAACGTAACGTAACGTAACGTACGACCGACGACGTAGAGTACGTACGTAGTAGTAGAGAGAGAGAGAGGAGAGAGAGAGAGAGAGAGAGAGAGAGAGAGAGAGAGAGAGAGGTTTTTCTTTTCGCCGGACTGAAAACTCACCGCTTTTATCAAACCAGGGTAAAGAAAGATTTTCTAACATGTAGTCCGGCAAGCGGATTCGGAGAGAGAAATTTGAAACCCTCGCTGTACTGCTGGGTATCCATTTGATAGACTGGATTTTAAAAACAAAGTTTCAGGGATGGCCGTGATTGTTGGTGGTCATGCTCGAGTAATATTGTCATGGGTTGAAAACATTCAATCAAATGCTTGAAAAAATCTTGATTAAACAGAAATTCTAGTTTTGTTAGCCAAATAGTTCGAATATGAAATTTATTAAAATTTTGATTTATTGGTAGACAGTCAAACGGACAAAAAAAGAACATGTTAGGATAATATGTAATCTAGAAATATGGAAAGCCAATAAAGCCTTTGTTCAAATTTCTGAATATTTAAATCCTGTTTTATCAATCATATCCTAAGGGGCTATTTTTGAGTTAGTGTTATTAAGTCAGAAGTTACTATAGGTTGCCATGATCATTTTCAGCTTTGTTCTTAGCTTTCTAGGCCTGCCCATGCCCTAGTCTCCCCTGGACTCTATGCCTTCTGCATCCTTTACCCAAACCTGACAAAGAATGGTTAGGCTGATGTGTAAAATCATTTGTTTCAGCATACAACAACAGCCCCCTCCTCGGACCCACCCCAACCCCCGACAACCCCCCAGCCCCCAAAAAAAAAAAAACACCTACCCACTACCCACTGAACGAAGAAAGAAAAAGGGGTTTCAAATCTGAAACAAAGTTGGACCTGTGAACTTGAACTTGTTAATCTAGCTTAGTCTGGTGGTCCGACAAGTTCATTCTGGTCTGGTTCGAGAGCCTGGCCGAAACTCAGTAGTTTTGGTTGACTATATTTCTGTTGTAATGCAATTAGTGATTTTTTTTTTTGGGTTTTGTTTCTTCTTCTTTTGCTGTTACAAGTAGTTCATTCTTTTTTTTTGTGGGAACTAGCAAGATGGTGTGGAATATGGAGAACCTTTTACCCCTGTAGGCACAAAGATGAATGTTAGCACTATTCGACATTAGGATCTGTTGAAGGACAATGTCAACAATTCCCTTTTTCAAGGGATTCTACATTCAGCCAACTCCAGATTTATAACGATCAGATTCTGTCAGCTTGCCATATGACTAATATGTTCCTTGAGCCCAGTTTAAGAAATTTCTAGTAATTGTAATTGTTGGGCACCCGAAGAGTCGGTGCATCTGCTTCTTATTTGTTGCACCCTTCTCTGACTGAAATAGTAGTGCTATGTTTTGTGTAGATGACATTGTGCTTTCCTGGTATGACTGGATGGCTCTTCTAGCATCAACTTCATCATCTTTAATGTTGCATAGATATGGGTATTTGCATGTGTGTTAGACACAGGTCTGCGGTGTTGGTTTCTTCGAGCCTCAAGGAGCGAGTAGGATTCCGTGACCCAGCTCTCCCCCACAGGAAAAAAAACAACAAACACCAAAAAGAAAGTGTTCATTCTACATTCATATAAGAGTATAAATTTCATGACTGATCCACCCCCATGTTCTTTCACTTTGAATGCACAGAAAAGGAAGCTTATATTTTTGCTATTTAACACATACCAAAAGAAAGCCAAATTTTTTTTTAGTATTTTTATTATTGAATGCATAACTGAAAAGGCCAATTTAAAATTTTGAATCACATCAAACAAGTCACCTGTGCCCTTTCATTTTGATCGAGTAACAAAGTAAAGCAAGTTTTCTTTGAAAAAAGAAAACAAAGCGAGTTTTCTTTCTTTTTTCCCTTTTGTTGTTGAATGCATAACAAGAAAAACAAGTCTTTATTTTTGATTCATAGCAAAAAAAGTCACTGATTAGCCCCATAATCTTTTATTTTGGATGCCGGACCGAAAAACGGAAAGTTTTTATTTTCGTTATTTAATGCATAACAACATAAAGCAAGTCTTTTATTTTCATTATCGAATGCATAAGAAGAAAATCAGTGTTTATTTTTTATTTACAGCAAAAAGGTTTGTTCCATGCTGCTCGTTCATTTTGAACGCAAAGGTAAATGAGCTAGTTTTCATTTTTGGAAGCTTCAGCTGGAAACTTTTCAACGTGTTTATGTTCAGAAGAATGAATTCTGGCGAATCTAGGAGAATCTTATCTGTAATTGTGTTGGTATGTCTCTGACACGGTTTAGGGAGAGGACATTCCCATTACTTGAATATGAAGTTTTCTGGACAAATAGTGCTCCCATTGTGTCACTCATGTGGTTATAGTATAGTCTCTGGCCCGGTTTGCATTCGTACATAAGTCGCTGACCCAGCCGACTTATATGCGCTACTGTTTGTGAGCTGTTTGGTCGAGCACTGTGTGCCACTATTAGCTACATTGTTATGACAATTTCATGTAGACAGCCAGGAATTATTGTTGAGTAGTTTGTTTCTTCAAGAGGTCATTTTGCTGCTGTATTGGATAAATCCACCTATCTGCATTGACAAACGGGCACTTTGTATTGCTTGTTGTGTAGTGAGCTTATGTGAATTTATTTTGTCTTTTTCATGTATTACATTTTGCAAGTTATCTATAAATATGTGGATGTCCTTTGACCACTTCATGTAGGCAACAAACTAACAAAGCCAAACCCTCAGTTTGAATCTGAGCGTGCATTTTATATTCTCTGTTCAGCCATGTCTTGACTGCTCTCTCACTAAGCTAAGTCCCCAAGAAATGGGAGCTCAAGGCAGTGGAAGTTTTGAATTTGTAGTATCCCATTGCTGCTTCAGTGGGTTCAGAATCTTATAAGTGCCTGGCAGACATCAATTCTAGAATAAATAAGCAACCCCACAATTAGTTTGGGCTTGAAGAGCTATGGTTTAATATGCATATGGACTAATTTATCAACTTTCAGTAATTATTATTGGTAATGCTATATTAGATGAAAGCTGGCCATTAATTTGCAGTCTTGTGAACCATTAGTTTGTTTACTTTTAACTGAGTATCCTTACAGGAAAAGTTAAATCATAATTTCGTCACCTTGTTAGTGGCTTGAAGGGGCAATTGCCATCCCCAACCCCACCCCCCCTTCCCCCTAATAAAACCACTAAGCACCAAAAAAAAAAGTGTGTGCGGAGATTTTTTATAGGGTGCCATTATGCCCCTTGATGCCAGTGCTTCCATGAGAGTAATACATTATCTTCCTTAATTTGTTCTCATTAACATCCATTTTTATATTTGAAAAATTTAAAATGGATGAGATATTGTTATGTTCTCTTGGTAGTGCCCTTTTGTCATGGTTTGGGGCTTCCTTTGTGTGATGACCTTCTTACCTGTATATTCATCTTATTCTCATAAGGAAGTTTGATTTGGCTTGGTGGATATTTATAGTGAAGGTTTCTGCTCGTGTTGACAGGTTGGGTATGCGGAGAAGATTGCGAATGTGTGGACGAAAGTTGCAGAAGAAACAAGTGAATATGCAAAAGATAGTATTTGATTATTGTTTTTAAGTGAGGATGGTATTTCAGATTAGAAATATGTACATAGGTTTATGGTACGTCCCTTCCACTTCAGAGCCTGTACACTACCACTCGCGCGGGGTTCCTAGAGCAAAGGAAAATAACTTGGCAGATTTTTGAAGTAGCCTTTTAGTTATTTCATGATGTGTACACAAATCCTTTTATGCTTGCAGCCATTCCATGTCCATATGGCCTTATCGATCGCAGAGAAACCTATTAAGATTTTCTAAAGAGTTTTTGGATTCAAGTTAGATTTTCTAGAGTTTTTGGATTCAAGTTATGTGGAAGTGTTGAAAGCTAGAATGTGCATAATGCTCTCTCTCTCTCTCTCTCTCTCTCTCTCTCTACACTCTGTGTATGTTTAGGTTCCCAAGTTCATTTATTTTTTAGTAGTTCAGTGGGAATTGGGTCCTCTATCTATGATATGAATAGAAGTCAGGACGTTACGTTGTGGCATTCCGCTACCTTGACCACATATCATTCTTAACTAGTTCCCAAGTTGAAATACGAAATCTCTTTCTATCTAGGTTTGATCTAAATAATCTTGTTCTTGTTTCATTTCCTTATACCCTTGGGGGTGCGATATCATTCAAACCTTGGATGGAACTCCATAGCTATTTAAATAAGGGAAACGTTTAAATATGACACCTTAAAATGTAGAAGTATAATTTACCTCTAAAAATGAAAGAGGTTGTTTTAATGTTGGAAAAATATATAATTGATCATCTATTTAAGATGTATACATATAAAGAAAAATAAGATTTTAAGTCTTAAAAATAGTACATCTTGTTACATATTATATGGGTCGACTATTTTCAACATTTTCATGTGTTTAAAGATCTATTTGATTTGAACCAGTTTAGAGTAATTAGAAATGAAAATAGATTCTCTTACCATCCTAAGAATATTTGACTCTAAGCTTGCATTTCATGATAAAAGTTTGGAGGTGTACCTTACTCTAATGTTTATGGTTGCAATATGATGTGGATGGCATCCTCCTGAAGGTGCAAGTTATACTTATGTTGGGTGCCTTTTACTTTAATGTTTATGGTTGCAATCTGGTGTGGATGGCATCCTCCTTATGCTTATGTTGGGTGCCTCTGACACCTAATGATGGGGATTTTGTTTGATAGGAAAGTTTGCAAATCATTTTTTATTCACCTTAAAAGGAATTGGTTGAGCTGTGATAAAGTCCCTTAAATGGAGGGTTAGAAGCAATGTTTGAAAACTCGTCGAGTCGAGCTGGAATCGTTCGTTCGATTCAGTAATCGTCGGTTACCGAGTCGGTTCTACAAAAAAATCGGTAATCGCCCGTATCCGGAGAGAATCAGGCGATTCCCAATAGTAAATCGCAAGTCTCACCGAATATTTTGGGTTCACACGTGGCCGCCTCACTAGAGCGACACGTGGCACGTACCTACAAACCCTCAATGCATGACAATTCACCTTGCTCGTATGCCCTCCTCGTTTTTCTACACGCATGACTGAATGACTAGTACACAACACTTAATAGAGAACAAAGGGTTTCTCATCTTTCGATGCGGGATAATTCCCACAAAAAGCCATTCAAGCAAGATGATTCAATATGTATTATATTATAGTTGTTAATGAAACACATCAAGCAATGTGGTGGTATTGGTTAACAACCTTGAATTTTCGGGCGGACGTCTTGAGTTCGAACCCTGTGCATCCTCGTTTATAATACAATATTTTTT